CGCATCACCTAAGCCACATTTTTGTTTAAACATTAAAATAAATTTAAAACATTCATTTAGTGCATATTTATGTTACTTATTTAATTAATAGAAAGTTTATATAAATAAAAATAAATTATGTAAGAAAATGAAATGTTAAAATAAGAAAAACAATACTTTAATTTTTTTTATTAGTGGTAATAATATAATTCAACTTTCATTTTAAATTGATCATAATTTAATATTTTAAATATGTTACTGAGTTTTAGAATGTAAGTAAAATTTAAATTTATTGTAGACTATAACAACATTTATGTAATTGTATATATAAAATTATAAAGAGGAAAAAAAAATGAAAGTGAAATATTAGTTTATAACATGATCAAAAAGAAAAAAAATGATATTTCATAAATTGAATCAAGTGCTTTTAATCCAAATTTTGAGTATTGAAAGATAATAATTAAAGAGAAAATAATTATAATATTGTTTGAAAATCAATTTAAAAAATAATAAAATATCACAATATGAATGAAAAGTCCAGCAAAACAAAATTATAAACCTCTCGCGCGGAGCGCGGGTCATCTGCTAGTATGATATATTATTTAGTGAGATAATAAACTAGAAATCAACTAATTTTTATTTACTCAAACAATATTTATTCATCAACTAGAAAGAGCAAAACATATTATAAGTTAGATAATTATTTATTGACCTAACATGATAACAATATATGTATATGGATAAGTTTATAAATATATTGTATTAAATAATATTGTATCCAGATAAATGTTTAATTATATGATAAATATATATTTATCGTGTTAGCTCATTTATTTTATCATATGTAAAAGATAAAAAGTTGCATATAGTTTATTTATTGTGTGGATAACCAGTTTATTAGTATGTTAACTAATATAAAATCGTGATAAATCTATAAATTATGTGCAATATATATATCATGCTAACTTAGTTATCATAGTTATACAAATTATGAGAAAAGCATATTTATGCATAATTTTATTTTTTGATTACGTGATAAGCTTGATAATTTTTTTAAATAATGAATATTTATGATCATAGTGATAACAATAATAATAACGTGTTAAGTAATGTTTTATCCGTTAATAAGAAATGCAAATAGATAACAAATATGAGAAAATTTAGAAAAGAGATAAAAAAAAAGAAATAAAATAACTAAGGACAATTATGTAACTTACCTTGCCGAAATAAAAATGGTCTAAAGTGGCCAACATAAATTTGAATACAAATGGTCAACAATGTTTTATGATTTATTCTAACATATAGCATGTTCGTTACTAAAAATCTAACAAAGTACACACATTTTGAATATTAAACCAAAGAAAAAGAAGTAGAAGCTTAGTCACTTCTCCTATGAACAGCAAGAGCCTGTAGAGGATGCTTCATGACGACAGTGAACTCTAGCTTCTCCGTCAAGTCAACTTCATGACCTTCGACCTCTTTCCATTGGAACTCCCTGACCATGTTGGCAACGAACCACTCGAGATGTAACATGGCTAGCCCTATCCCGGGACATATCCTTCTTCCTGCTCCGAACGGCATCATCTTTATTCCTCTACTTCCAGTTATATCCACCACTTCTTCTTCTCCGATGAATCTCTCCGGCTTAAACACCATAGGTTCCTCCCACACCCTTGGATCACGTCCTATTTCCGCCACCATGAAGTTGACTGTCCCATTCTTTGGTACCTTGTACCCTCCCAGTAAAGTGTCCTCTGTGACACTGTGCGGGAGCAAAAAATGTCCTGGAGGATGCCTTCGGAGACCCTCTAACACTACTGCCTTTAGATATGGCATCTTCTCAACATCTTCTTCCTCCACATCTTTTGCTTCTTCCCCGACTACGCTTTTGATCTCCTCGTGTAATTTCTCTTGTATTTCTGGATTTTTCACGAGGTTCGCCATGATCCATTGCAGCGCTGTGGCCGTTGTATCAGTCCCTGCAGTGAGAAACTCTGAACACAAGTTCATGATGTCTTCCTCGTTCAGCTTCCTCTTCTCATCAGGAAGCTCCAAATCAAGAAGAGTATCAACGTATGATTGCGCATAGTCTTTGTTGTCTTCTTCTTCTTCATCCGATCTCTTCTTCCTCTCTTCCACGATCTTTCTTCGGGCACAAATCAGCGGGAGCAAAATGTCCTGCTGCTGTCTCCGAATCTGGAGAAATTCTTGCCACCTGTTTCGCAAGATCAGTTTAGTGAACTTAGGCCATATGTTGAAGATGTTGAATCTGGTCAAGCTAAGGAGCTGTAGTCTCTGAATAAACTCCACTTGTTTGATTTGCTTCTCTACGAGTTTATCTCCAAAACACATGAGAACAAGAAGAGCAAACATGGCATATTAGAGATGGTCAACAAGAACGATTGGTTCTTGACCTCTGTATTTACGAAATCTATCAAAGAGGATCCCAAGAACCCAGTGTCGCGCGTGAGAACAAGATCTCACGCGCGAGGGATGAAGGATCTCAGTGGAGATATTTCGTCGAAGAAGCCGCCACGTGGCTCCATATGACCCGGAGCTGATGTTGTGTTTGTCGACAATCTTGCTGATTGTAGCCGGTGGTGGACGGTCTGCATAGACGGCGCTGTTCAGTACTAGAGCCTCGTGAGCGAGGGAACGGTCGGCAACGAATATGGCAGGGAGGGAAGTGATACGGAGAGTCACGATAGGGCCTAGACGGTGGTGAACGGAACGGAGATAGGATTCGAGGCCACCTAAGCCTTCCCTGAGCCAGTGAAGGGTTCCAAGGAAAGGTAAGACATTAGGGTCAGGAGGTAGAGGAGGAGAGGAGGAGTTAAGGCTGCGAATGAGGAGATGGAGAAGGAGAGACACGAAGAGAGAGGCCAAGATGAGTAACCATGTCTCCATTTTTTTATTATGTGTTTTTTTCACTTTATTTTTTATTCCTACATATATAGACGTAACATGTATGGCCAGATTCTTTTAAACCGTGCCATTCAAGTATAATAATCTTATTTTATTTTGCTGTATTTATTTTTATAATTGTAGTCAAATATTTGGATTATAATAAATTTGGAAAAATCAGATGGAAAGTTTTGTGCGGTGTTTGTTGCAGCTCAAGAGTAAGGAGATAGTTGTAGAGACTAAGGATAGAGATGGTTTTGTTTTGTCTATCTCTGGTAGAGAAAATTAAAAAATTGCTTGTTTTAGCTCTGCATTACTAAATTTTTGTGACATCATCCGTTGCGTATGTTACTAATTAAGTTTTGTGAATAATCTTCTTTATTATTGATTTCTGATAAGTTTAAGATCTATCCTAGGGAAACTGAAGACTTTGGCTTAGAGTTGAACAAATGTTTTCGAGGACAAGATTCTAACACCAACAATATTTTTAGTTTAATAAGTAAATCTTATTTTCTCATTTGGTTGAAGGTGTTGTTAACATTGAGATTTAGAAGCATCTACGTTAATTAAGCATCTTCAAAATGAGTTTAAAGATCTTTGATAAAAGCTTAGAGGTCACTAGTTCGAGTTGCGCTTGAGACGAGACCATAGAATATGTTCTGATTTCGGGCAGAAAAAATGTATGGGCTTAGGCTTAGAACCTTTTAACTATTCCGGAAAAAGTTAATAATATTATAATAAAAAGAAAAGACATAACATAAGTGAGTCTCTCTCAAAAACATAAAGAGTACGTATGCAATTTGCAACTCCATTATATTTTTTTGCCTAAAGATGTAGTCACAGACCAATGATTCTTTTCCAAATATAATTGTGGAAACTTGGGTTTTGAACATTTGCTAAAAACTAAAAAGACGTCTATCAATTTATTGTAATCCATTTTGGTGGTTTGCCACTAATTTTTCCAAAAATTAAAGAATTTGGTATATTGTCAATTTATTGTGGCTAAAATATCTTCTTAATATTTAAGAGGATATATAAATGGGGGAACATAAATGTAGAAGCAAGAACTGTATGTGTCTGTAGAAGTTTTTATTTATCTTTCAGATTATTAGGGAGTATGATATGATATGATATGATATGATTGGTTTACTTCAATTTAACTTGGCTTTTGATTAAATAAAAGAGAAGATAACAATTTGATTTAATAACATTTGCCGAAGTAAACTATGTATTATGCTCATGTAATCTTAGCTAAAACATGTTTATGTTTTTTCTTCCGTGTTGGTGATTTAGATCCGGAGATCGGTTGTGAACAAAGAAGATGAGTATGGTTTCAAGAAGCCGCAACATCCAACATACCATGAATGAAGGTTTAGAGAAAACAAGAGAGACACAGAATGAGAACAATTCGATTTTATAACATTTGCCGAACTAAACTATGTATTTTGCTCATGTAAGCTTTAGCTAAAACATGTTTATGTTTTGTTTTCTTTCGTTTTTGTTTTGGTGATTTAGATCCGGAGATCAGTTGTGAACGAAGAAGATGAATATGGTTTCAAGAAGCCGAAACATCCAATGTACCATGATAAAGGTTTAAATAAAATAAAAGAGACAATGAATGTGAAAATCAATTAAGAGCATAATTCGACAATTAATAATGTATTTTCGCGCTTAATAATAATTCTTTTCCCAATGTTACCTGTCCAAACTCTCTATGATTGGAGAGAGTTCGAAGAAGGTGGAAACTTTGGCTGTTAAGGCAATGAGCAAAGGGTGTTTAAAGTTCTGGTCGGAAAATTAACGAGTTCATAGAGAGTTTACGGAAGAAACATTGATTCAACTCTGTAAACGACGGAACACATGTGTTTGTTGTTGTATAAGAGCATTTTACGAAGGTGATTGTGATTCATACAAATATACAATAAACCAATTATGATTGTGAACAACAGAACTAGTATGTAAAATAACTAAATAACTTAGCTGAAGTTTTCAACAGTAGAAACATAATACTGTACTAGTGAGATTTTGTACGAAGGGAAAAGAAAAACGTTGAATTCAACAAACTAGTAATATTGGGCCTTTGATACCCAAAAGATGACCGAAACCGAAAAAGCCGTTCAACAAGAAGCGGAACTTCATGCATCCCACATCGGAAGACTGAGAGAGTTTGGTAGTTGAGACTTCAATATAAAAAAGGCTTCACTCCCGTCAAGTAAAAATCACGCAGCCATGTGGTGAGCACAGAGCGAACTATTCTTTCGCCTTTTACTAAAGAATACCGTGTGCTCTCCACGCTAAGTGGCATACGCCTATTTTTGGAGGGTTCTTACTTCACTGTGAGACCCAACATTAACTAGTCTGAAGAATTTATAGTTTTAAAAATTTGTTGTAATCTAAGACTTCATAATCGGTAAAACTAAAACCAGAAAAATTCTTAAAAATGAGTTTGTTCCAAAAATGAGACTAAAATCTCTTGTACCCTTTGACTCCTTCTTCTATTCTCTTAAGGGTTTGACCAAAAGGAAAAAAAAAAAATTTAATTAAAAAAATCGAAAATTGGTTAAAATACAAACTTATCCTCACTAAAATAAAACAATTACAGATCCAACCACCCTATATCCGAAAATCCATATTACTATCGGATATCCATCGGATCCTTTACCTCTTTGTCTTCCTCTTCATCGTTTCAAAAATCAAAAGTCCCACAAAATCTAAATATTTTGAAAAATCTGAAAATCACAAGCAGTTCGAGTATAACTAAGGACAACCCGAGATATGGTAAGTCAAAACCTTCAATTATTTGGGTATTTTATGTTAGAAATGTTGCATATATACTTATAACCTTCCTCATGACTTGAAACCCTTCGATGCTAACTCCCAAAGCTATGAACAAGTACATGAATTTCTTATTCTCATCCAAATGCAGATATGTTCTCGTACCTTGATTAACCTTCTCTAACATGTGCAAATAACAAGGGAGCATTTTGTAGCTTTCTTCCGCGGTACCACGCAAATTACTAACGGCTTTATCTTTCCCTCTCAATGCCGTCGAGTATGATACACTCAAACCTAATTTGGTCTTCACAAGTTCCATGATAATCTTGGGACGTGGAGTTTCCATCTGTCCTGGATAATCATTATGTAAAAGGGATGCAACTAATTCCGGAGTGCCGCGCCTGTTACTGTTGCTTGAACTTTTACTCGCCCGAGAGCAACTATGCATATTGTTGTGCCGGCGGATAGAGAAAATCTCAGTATGTGGAACACTTGTAGCTCGTAAACCCCAACTACATCCTTCTTTAGAACATTTCAACACATAACGATCCTTATCCGACTTCACAATTTTAAACCTAAAACAGTTAGCAAACGAAGCTCTATCCACCACTTCTTGCAATGCCTTCTTGTTTGGGACTTCGTCAAATTTCCTCAAAGTCAAACCGTCTTCCCATGGGTCTATAAACTGAGAAGGTGTTACAATAGGTGGTTGTTCAACATACTCATCACCTTCTTCACGTCCTAAAGTTTCAGAATCGCCCTCGACACCCTTTCCTTTATCTTTCTCTTCGTATGGAACAATGGCGTTAGCCTCATCATCTCTAGTATGTTGGTTTTGATAATTCATACCAACAGAACTTTGGTCCACTCTAACAGCCTCATCATCATCATCATCATCATCTTCAATCACTTGCTCAGGCTGTTCCGATACCTTTGTGACATCCACAATCAACACACATCTTCGCTTCTCTGTATCAAAGGACGTCAAATACACATCCAAATCCTCATCATCATAAATCGTACACTTTTCCCTCTCATTCGATTCTGCCACTAGCGGATAGTAGCTCAACTCCAACTTAACGTGGCTCTCAACAAATCCAACCTTCTTGTTTATCCTTCCATTAGCATCGACAACGTTATATCACTCGCTTTTGTCTTGATCAGAATACTATACATCCGACCTTCACACTTAAAATATATGCTAACTCTTTCGATCATTGTATCCTGCCAAAAAAATACAATAAACAAAATCAGTTTTACCAGTTTTAATAGTTTTACCAGTTCCAGTACTACTTGGTTTTACCAGTTTTACCATTTATGCGAGTTGTACCAGTACTACCAGTTTTACTAGTTATACTATATTTACCACAGTGCCTAGTTTTACTAGTTCTACTCAAAATCGAATTTCGATTCCGGGTTCTAAACTCTGCAATTCAAGACGAATCTGGGTCTAAAATTCATTCTAATCAACTAAATAGCTCAATCAACCCAGAACCCATGGTCAAACATCCAATGTGCTAAGGATTTATCTTCTCAACCAAAATCCAATCAAATTTCAAAAATCTAAACAAATATGAAGCTTATAGTTGAACAATGTACCTGCATTTTCGAGCTTTGTAGAGCTCAAAAGAGAAGAAGAAATGCAGGGCCTCCGACGTCGCCGGAATCGACAGGTCTGGCACCAAAATCGGAGCTCTCCGTCGGGTTTGGGAGGAGGAGGCGGAGAGGGGAGCGGCGTCGGGTGAGGGTATATGTTTTATTTTTTGTTTTTGTTTTATTTTTTGTTTTTTTAATTAAACTGAATAAAAGAAAAGGAAAATAAGGAGGGGTAGAAATGGAATAACGAATTCTCATTAATGAAGGAGGGGTAGAGAGATTAAAAAGAGAGATACTGGAATAAAATTGTGAAAAAGGACATGAGAGATGAATTATCCGTCGTTTCATTTAAAGGTAATTAAGTTTCCTTTTTCAACTGTTAAAGACTTAACGTAGTTCTTGGGAAAATTCCATAAAAATTCATCATCTAATTTTAATTTGGAAGTTTAATACCTAATGTTACATATTTGGTTGGAAACAAAATGCATAGTTTATTAATACATCAAATATATAAAATTTATCGAATCAAAGAAACCGCTTAACAAACGATAATCGGATTGACGAAATCATTAAACCGAAGTTAATGGAATTACACTAAACTTAGGGTTTATCGATTCCAGTTCGATTTGGGGTAATAGCAAAGGACAATGCAGTATTTGGATAACCCCAAATTACCCGTGTGTTTAGGGATTAGTGATTTCGCCAACCTCGGTTTAGTGATTCGGTCAATCCGATTAAGCGGTTTATTCGATTCGACAATTTTTATATACTTAATGTATTAATAGACCAAAATTTAATATATCATGCATTTTATTTCCAACCAAATAACATTAGATATTAAACTTCCAAATTAAAATTAGATGGATAATTTTTATGAAATTTTCCATTTTTTTTGGGATGGGCAAATATATTCAATTAATTAAGAAGCCCAATGGGCACGATGAAAAAATACAAGAACTCTAATCTCTTTGGTTTACAATCTTGATCGTAATTAAAACACACTTTAACTCTAACTAAAGAGATAAGATTATGAACAAAGGTGCCACATGTTGACATATGTTAATCATGGAAATAGTATCAATTCGCGGTCGATCTACTAATTAATTATGAAAATAAAAAATTTAACTACAAACTTGCATGGTATTGGGGATAATTGGTAATAATTATGTGTGTATTGTTGATCTAATATTTCTAAATCTAGGAATGTTTTGAAAAAAAATTTAGCCAAGTTAATCCACTTTAGGAAAGTTTAAGTCTAACATTTAACTTTGGCAGTTCTAACTATAATATATATAATTATTGTATGGTCAATAACAAAAATATATAGTAGTAGTACAATTACTAAAAACATTAAAAATATCTATGACATAATACAGTAAAACCTCTATAAATTAAGAAAAAAAAAAATACCTAGTTACATGAAGTATGATACAATACATGACCACACATCTGGAGTTTAAAAATATATCTCTAACTACACAAACTATATAGTTCATATATGTGGGTATGCGATGCTATATGTAGATATGTCGCCAACTCTATAAATTAATAAATTTTACTGGTCCCAAGTCGGACCACTGTAAAAATTGACGAAATTTGATAAGATAATAAGATAATAATTATTTTGACATCCCCATGTAAAATATAGTCCCAATAATATCAAAAATTAATAATCACTCTATATATACATATAAGTAGATATATTAATATATGTTTTTAGTTTTTTTTTGTAAAAATGAATTTTCTATTAGAGTTCACCTCAATAAATAATTTTATGTTAGTATTTTTTTAAAACAATAATCTTGTAATATATACCATTACAAGTCAAAAAAATAACCAAATTTTCTTTATGCTTTTAATTTTTAAATATGCATCATATTGTTGACAAAAAAACAAATATGCATCATATTCATTTTTTAATATATAGGATGGTAAATGCTAGTTATGTATAACTAGTATATACTTTAATGATATTCAAGAGGTTATAAACAAATATTAGTTATACAACAATAGTATTTTTAACAAAAATAATCAAAAATATATTTTATTCAGTATTATAAACAGACCAAACAGTACTACTAGAAACATGTTTATATTTCTTAATAGAGCTTAAATTCTTATTGTAAATATTGTTAAAATTATTTACAATTTCCTTAACTAATTTTGTATAAATAATACATAATAAGTTTTCATGAATTCCAACTAAGCTCATTCTTTTTACATATAATCATAAATATGAATTTTTGATAAATATTATTCATTGTATTATGAAATATAATAAATACCCACTATCGATGTTGTGTCTAGTACGACTTTTACCAGTTGTACTCGTACCAGTTATACCTAGTTATACCTAGTAATACTAGTTGTACCCATCTTAGGCTACAAATGGTTGCACAAAATTGAATAGGTTGGAAATATTAAGTTGAATAAAATTGGGTTGAATATCATTCAACTCATTCATCTCCAGAATTGTGGATGAACAAGTTGAACATTTTTCTTTTGTAAATTGTTCAATTTTTCAATTTTTTAGGTTGAATGGGCTAAATAACTTTTTCAACGTTTTCAACTCAAATGGTGAAAATTAGCTGAATATTATTTTTCAACTTCTTCAACCTCTTAAATTGTGCAACCATTTGCAGCCTTAGTTATATCAAATTCTACTAAGTTGTACTACATTCATAAATTAACTAATTTTAGATTATTTTCTTGCGATTTAGTTTGATTGAAATGTTAATATTCATATATTTATTAACATAAATTGACCCATATCGATTCTAAGAACAAATATACAACTCATGTTCATAGTTTTTCAATGGTGTTTGCATTGATTAAGTAAAATTTCAAGTTTGGGAGAAAGAAAGAAGAATAGGGGGGAAAGAAAAAAAAAAGATACGTTGGTTGGGTCCACGTTTTTTCTTTTTATTTTTTACTTAAATTAAATCAATAATAGGATAGGCAAAATATGTCAGTAAATAGGTCAATATATGATCAAAGAGTAATTTTAGATCATCTTATGGCTGGATTCTTCGAGACAATGAGGGTAATCTAGATGTTGGGGATCTTCTCTTCTTCCAAATTCATCCACACCTATTGAAGCAGAAGCAAAGGCGTTACTAGCTGCGATCCAACAAATCTGGCTACGAGGATATCGTCATGTCTATTTGGAGAGCGACTGTTCTGAGTTAATAGATATGCCTCAAGGAAAACTTCACAATGCCTTAATTCAAGGGATGTGTACGGATATCTTACACTGGTCTGCTTCTTTTTCTGAAATAAAATTTGTCTTTGCTAAGCGTTCTTGTTAGGCCTGGGTAGGCATGTCAATTAGGGCTAAAGCCCGCGGGCTAGTTTGGCCCGGCCCTGAAAAACATCGGGCTCGGGCTTAAATATATATGTCCAGAAAAAATCGGGCCTTTTGGGCTAAGCCCATTCGGGCTAAAGGGTTTTTTGGGCTTAGCCCGGTCGGGCTCGGGCCGGCCCGAAAAGCCCTTATACAAATATATTTTGAAATTTTTGAATATTTTAGTTTGATTAAAAAATTTGATTAATGTTATAGTTTTCATATTTACTTACTAGTCTTACTTATTACTTTTAAAATCTTTATACAAAGCTAAAACTAAATATATTTAAGTATCATGATTTTGAAATCATCAAAATATCTATTAAATTTTGACTCTATCTTATACTTTAAAGTATTTTAGTTCCATGTTTTATTGGGTTAAAGTGTAAATAATTTATTTGACTTTTAATTTTTTATCTTAAATTAAGTTAATTTTATTGAATATTGATAAGTTATTTAAACTTTGATGCATTATCTTTATCGTAGACCTTTAAATATAGTTTTTAAAAAACTATTATGAACTTAGAAATTGATTTTTTATCGGTAAATAAAGCCCAAAAAAGCCCGAAAAGCCCTGTAGCCCTGTTAGGGCTGGGCCGGGCTTTGAAATATAGGCTCGGAAATTTTTCGGACCGGGCCGGGCCGGGCTCACATATACGAGGGCTTTACGGGTTTCGGGCCGAGCCGGGCCGGGCTAGCCCGATTGACATGCCTAGGCCTGGGAATCCGAACCGAACCGATTTGTCCGAATCGAACCGAACCGAGATTTGGACAACTCGGTTCGGTTTCTGTTATTAGAGTAAAACCGATCGGAAAGAGTTTAATTTAGGATCGGTTCACCGAGATTTTCGGTTCGGATTGCCATAACCGATCGGTTAACCGAATAATAAAAACCTCTAATATAATATTGTCCTACCCACTTATTCTTCTCTTATTCTTCGCACTCTTCCTCTTCTTCTTTTGTTCATCACCAGTTATCATCATCATCTTCGATACAACATCTCGTTATTCTCATTCTTCTTCTTCTTTTCACCCAAATAATATTATCTTAGCTTCGAAGGGTAGCAAAAAAAGCTTCCACAAATCGTTTGACGAAGAAGTAATTTTGAGAGAAGCTCCAATTCGAAGAAGGTGAGAGATTAAGGTTGAGTTTTTTCGATTTTGCGTTGTTGGGGACGTCGGGATAGGTCTCTTCGAGTCAGATTTACTTTGTGTTGGTCTCTTACGGCGGCGGGGCAAATTTTTTGTCTAGGTTTGAGAGTTGAAACAATTGGACTGGGCCTTTTTTATATTTTTTTTCTTATTTTGTTTTGGTCTGGCCCAATCGTTTTGTATTAAAATCGGCCCAAACTCATTAAAAACTTAATTTCGGTTTTCAATCTCAACAATCAAAATAACCGAGTCTGAACCGAAACGAACTGATATTTTATTCAGTTAATTTTGGAACAGCTTTCAGATTCCGAACAAACCGAGAAACCGAGAAACCGAATTAACCAATATTACCGAAGTCGCAGGCCTAGTTCTTGTAATGAAGCTGCCTATCTAGTTTGGTGTTTTAGATAGTAATTTCTTATGTACGGGTGTTTGTCCACCTCGATGGTTACAGAATCAATTGTATCATGACAATATTAATTCTTAATCAATAAAGTTTTTCGTTGAAAAGAATATATGAGCAAAGTGTACTAAAAACATTGAAGGGTATGTGTGTATAAAAACCTTGGTTAAATGGCACAAGAGATTGTTGTCCGTAATATTCGAGGTTTCATCTCCCATGTCCTTTTTCAGAATTTTAATCCACTCTCTCCTTTCTTATTCTTCATACCCCTCCTTCATTAAACCAAATGTATGAGGATGGCTGCTTCCAAAAACGCACCTCGTGGAAACAAGGGTTACCGGCTCTACGACCTTGCAAGGCACTATAGTAGAGCTCTTTTGGCCTGCCACTTTCTCAATCGAAAATGTCAACTGTGAAGATTCGCACGTTTCTTTATGTAATTTAAGGATTTATTTTCATTGATCGGATCGAGCACATAGGAATTTTTCCCTAAGTCAATTCATTCTCTTTGGCTGAAGTCAATCTTCATCAAGATAGCTGACCGAGTCGAAACCTACTTCTCAAGTCTGATGAATGCCCCGTTCATGAGCTAGTAAAGTCTGAGATCAATCAACTGGGATCGGAGACTGGACGTCTATTTCACTATCCCACTTTTGTCTAAGAAATTCAGATGCCTATGCGGGATCATTATGAACATGTTACAAGGCCTGAAGCGGAAGCGGTTGAGTTTTTTTTTCTATAGGTACTGGTTTGGCGCAAAACGATTCCACATATCTGGTGTTTTCACGTCTTACCGTAGTGCCCGGTTTGTCTTGCTTTCTAATTCATGAACAAGAAGAAAAATGGAACTATTGGATTTAGTTGTGACTTGCCCCCGGCTACATGTCCATAGGACCAAAAGCCCGCCCACCGCCAGTGGGTGGGAAGGAAGCTAGCCCCTATCTTGGTTGGAGGAAGAGGAACGAATTCCATCACGAAGGATTCAATCCAGCCACAAGTTCCCCTATGGCTACCTTGTTACGAATTCACCCGAGTCGAAGACCCCATCGTGGTATGCGCCAATAAGACCATCAAAAGCCTTTGTGGCACTAGTGGTACACATAAGTCATGGATGATCCGATCTGCAAGGGCCATGATTGGGAATTTTTTGATCGTCTTTCTTCGATTAGAAATAGGAATATATGCGCTTTGTATTCGCCCTTTCTTTTCTCCCGGCTATTCACGCATGAAGATCGTCCTATGTATGCTTGACTTCGGTTGTCGGTGCTATAGGTAAGAGTACATTATGGCAGGATCAATCACTCGGGCAAACCAACCCCCCTCCAAGAGGAATTGTGCTATGCCCCTGGGCAAATTTAATCAAGGATTGGAGAGGTACTTTAGTAACTCGACTGAAGGGAGAAGTGGGAAGAAAAGGCTCGGGATGGATTTAGGAGTCTTTGTGCGAGCCGTATGCGGTGAGAGTCGCACATACGCTAACGAGGGGGGTTTGCGTTTATACGTGTAGTGTGGTGGTTAGGCCTACACACCCTATTTGTTCCATGATCTATGGGTCTACTAGAGCTACCCACTTCGATCAATTAGCCAAGATTTTGAATGAATCAATCCTAATTCTCAATATTTTTTTCTTTTATTTAGTTTAATTAACAAAATGAAAAAAAAAAACCCCGACTCGATCTCTCCCTCTCCCTCTCAACCCGACGCCTCCTCCTCCCCAACCAGCCAATGTCGGTTTCTGCTGCTGGAACTGTCGATTTTGGCACCGTCGGAGGCCCATCGTTTCTTCATCTCTATTGAGCTGTACAAAGCTCCAAAATGCAGGTACATTCTTCAACTATAAGCTTGATATTTGTTTAGATTTTTGAAATTTGATTGAATTTTGGTTAAGAAGATAAATCCTTAGCACATTGGATGTTTTACCATGGGTTCTGGGTTGATTGAGCTATTTAGTTGATTAGAATGAATTTAAGAGTTTTTTTTGGTCTTGAATTGCAGATTTTAGAACCCGAAATCTTCGATTCGATTTTGAGTCTAACTATTAAAACTAGAAACTATACTAAATATAGTATAACTAGTAAAACCTAGTAGTACTGATCAAACTAGTATAATTGGTAAAACTTGTAAAACCTAGTAGTACATGCATTGGTAAAACTAGAATAACTGATACAATTAGTAAAACTGATCAAGTTAGTATTACGGTAAAACTAGTAAAACTGGTAATAATGATTAATGCAGTCGAACTAGTAGTATTACTAACTGAGTTTTTTTATATTTTTTTTGGCAGGATACAATGAGCGAAAGCATTAGCATACATTTTAAGTGTGAAGGTTGGATGTATAGTATTATGTCCAGGACAAAAGCGAGTGATATAACGTTGTTGATGCTAAAAGGAAGGATAAACAAGAAGGTTGGATATGCTGAGAGCCATGTTAGATTGAACTTGAGCTACTATCCGCTATTGGCAGAATTGAATGAGAGGAAAAAGTATATGATTTATGATGATGAGGATGTGAATGTGTATTTCACGTCTTTTGATAAAGAAAAGCGAAGATGTATGTTGTTTGTGGATGTCACAAATGTATCGGAACAGCCTGAGCAAATGATTAAAGATGATGATGATGATGATGATGATGAGGCTGTTAGAGTGGACCAAATTTCTGTTGGTATGAATTATCAAAACCAACAGAGTAGAGATGTTGAGGCTAACGCCATTGTTCTATACGTAGAGAAAGAAAAAGGAAAGGGTGTAAAGGGCGATTCTGAAACTTTAGGACATGAAGAAGGTGATGAATATGTTTATCAACCACCTGTTGTAAAACTTTCTAAGTTTATATAGCCATGGGAAGACGGTTTGGCTTTGAGTAAATTTTACGAATTCCCAAACAAGAAGACATTGCAAGAAGTGGTGGATAGAGCTTCGTTTGCTAACTGTTTTAGTTTTACAATTGTGAAGTCGAATAAGGTGCATTATGTGCTGAAATATTCTAAAGAAGGATATACTTGGGATTTACGAGGTGCAATAGTTCCAGAGACTGAGATTTTCTCGATCCGCCGGCACAACAAGATGCATAGTTGCGCTCGGGCGAGTCAAAGTTCAAGCAACAGTAAGAGGCACGGCACTCCGGAATTAGTTGCATCCCTTTTGCATGGTGATTAGCCACGACAGATGAAAACTCCACGTCCCAAAATTATCATGGAACTTGTGAAGACCAAATTAGGTTTGAGTGTATCATACTCGACGGCATTGAGAGGGAAAGTTAAAGCTGTTAGTGATTTGTGTGGTACCGCGGAAGAAAGCTACAAAATGCTCCCTTGTTATTTGCACATGTTAGAGACAGTTAATCAAGGTACGAAAACATATGTGCATTTGGATGAGAATAAGAAATTCATGTACTTGTTCATAGCTTTGGGAGTTAGCATTGAAGGGTTTCAAGTGATGAGGAAGGTTATAACTATGGATGCAACATTTCGAAAGAACGGATATGGTGGTGTTCTTGTTTTTGCATCGGCTCAAGATCCTAACCGTCATCATTATCCCTTAGCGTTTGGTGTTCTTGATGGTGAGAATGATGCGAGTTGGAATTGGTTTTTGGAGATGTTGAAAACCGTTATTGGGGACTCCTCTGAAATAGTATTTATGACTGACAGAAATTCAAGTCTCAACAAAGCCATAGCTAATGTGTATCCACAGGCTCATCATGGGCATTGTATATACCATTTGTCCCAAAATGTGAAAGGTCATGCTTCCAACTATAACAGAGATGTTGTTGCATGGAGATTCATGGAGGTAAGCAGGTTATACACAATGGTTGAGTTCGAAGTAGGATACAATTCTTTCAAGAGAAGATATCCTTCTGCTGCCAAGTATCTCGAAGATTCTTCGAAGATTGAAAAATGGGCAAGATGTGTATTTCCAGGAGAAAGGTACAACCTAGACACTAGCAACGGTGTGGAATCATTGAACAACGTATTTAAAGACTCTAGGAGGTACTCCTTAATACCCATGCTTGATGCGATTATTGGAAAATTTTCTGAATGATCTAATGAACATCGGAAAGAGTCCGTGTCTGGTTCGGTTACAAATAAATTGGTACCTTTTATGGAGAATTACTTGCACGATTTATGGGGGTTGCTGAGAAACTAAAATTGACTTAGCTAAACACTTTTGAGCTTCAATACAATGTTATTGACAACGACGGGAAGCCTTGTTTGGTGAATTTGCTTTTGAGGAGTTGTGGTTGCAGGTTTTTTTATATTGAAAAGTACCCTTGTGTACATGCATTGGTCGCTTTCATAGAGTACCTAAAGACTACATATAGAAGTAGGGATATCCAAATGCACGAGTTGTGTTCTATGTACTATTAGACGGAGCTGTGGGCGATAGCGTATTACCAGACAATTTTCCTAGTACCGGATAAGTCTCAGTGGAACGTCCCAGCTTGCGTGAAAGATATTGAGATCATTCCGCCAAAACGCAAAACAAAGGGTGGAAGGAAAAGAACTAAAAGGTTTGCGTCTACTAGAGAAAAACGACCACCAAAGAGAAAAAGGACACAAAATAAAAGGCGGCGGAGACAAGTACTACAATGGTTGTTATTCGGAGTTTCTTGTAATGTTTCATGTTTCGTTTATTTTTTATCTATGTATGGAACCTTCAGTTTGTACCTCTACTCTCTAGGTTATGTGACAATGTATGTTTGCTTTTTATTTAACTTGATGTGTCGTAACAGGTTGAAACTGGTATAACTGTCATTTTTAAGGCATAACTGGCATCTGTTTGGTAAAACTGGTACAATTGGTATAACCGGTAAAACTAGTATACTGGTAAAACTGATATATTGGTACAACTAGTAATATTGACATACTATTACAACTAGTATAACTGATAAAAGATGTTTAAGATGCATAAAATGATTTTAAATTGAACCTAACAATGTATGTACCAATAAACGACATACTTAATGTGTTAACGTTGGTAAAAAGTACAATTTAAAAAAATATTTATATTTTGGGTCGTTATAAAAGAATATAAACTAGTGTTTCTTTATACTTTTAAGTTCACTTTGTAAATAATCACCAAGTTGAGATGTAGAAGTTATATAAATATAAA